CATAAAAAGAAGAGCCAAAATTCGTCTAAGGTCAACTTTGATTGAGGGTAGTTGGAACCTTAGTTTCTTAGTAATTGCTGTATTTATCTACGGGGAATTCAATTTTCTTGATCAATTTTGATAAAAAGTTTAGTAATGGCGAACAGTTTTATCAATATTTTACGAAACGATCAAATCAAAGCGAAAACAATATCGACATCAAGTTTAAATGACCTGCAAATCTGGACTCCATAATAATTAAATAGGCAGCACACAACGAGAGAGAAAAAAACAAATGTATAAACCAAATAGTTATCACTGATGGAACAATCAACAAAAGTCGGAATCTATTATTTATTATGTAGTAGTGTTCTTGCAATATGGCGGATATTTGTAATTCGTTATTCTCGGTAATTTTTACATAAGTAAAGAAGAAATGTTGTTTTGTCATATATGTCCCCTTTTACCCAAAAAAAAAATGGCTTACAAAAACAAAAAACAACCTAAATGAAAGGCAAAATAAAGTGCAAAGGAATTCAAAAAAAATACAGCAAAATAATGTTAAATAAAAAATGCTTCATCAATAGACGCAAGCTTTTTGTGCTAAAAAGTTTTAATATATACCAAAATTACCGACAATAGTTTAGGTAGTAACAGCATATGTTGCTTGTGATACATAATATATTTGTGTATCATATCTTTTCTAAGGAAGGACATATACACATAGGTAACATGAATTTACCGAGCCAGTTAAAGTAATCAACAATAATCCAAGTACAGTTGTAGTGAAAAAGATTCAAAACCTTTTTTCTTCATCTATAAGTTTCCTTACGAAGCACCTGAGATCACCCTGGTGGGTATCGTATTGCTTTAGTTTACTATGTTGTGTTTTGTGTGCTGTTGTTTTGTTTTGTCTTTTGTCGTCGCTATTCATTTTTTTCTTGCCATGGCATTGTCGGTTTGTTTTTTCGCCTTTCTTTTTAAAAGAAGGACACTCACTTATACATAAAACAGATCAAAAGCAACATTTGTGATACTATATTGGATGATATAACTATACTTGAGTTCCTTTTTGGTTTGATCCACTCTTCAACAAGTGTATTAGATTTTAGATTCCAATTTTTAGATTCCAATATATTTTGGCCTCGAGCATCACCGAGGAGACATTATTTGTCGATTGACCAGAAATGCTCTTCTGGTGCATCAACAATGGTACTGTTTATGTTATTTCATTGAAGAACAAATATGACACCTCAACGTACCTGCTTCAATATGTGCTGACAACATTTGTTGGAACACTAATTGTGACACAGGTTTACAAAGAACTTTACTATAAGTCTAGTTCATTTCATGTCTCCATATTAATATTGTATATGATGTTATTCACATGTATTTTATTTTGTTCAGTTATTTATTATTTGTATGTAATGGAGAAGACGTTCTAATCTTGCAAAACGTGTGTCTGATCCCATTATCAATGTTAATGGACAATAAAATATGTTTAAATTAAATTAAGTCGGGAAATTTGTTTAAAAAGTAATACCTTCATAGATAAATAGATAATTCCCCTAATTTGGAAATTAGTCCATGGAATCTCTGTAGCAAAATCATTACTGATATTGAAATTCCCATGCACTTAAAAATCCAATACGAATGTGTGTTCAGAGTTTTGTAATTGTATAAGATATCATAGGCGGATCCAGGGGGCCCGGCCCCCCCCCCCTTTTCGTGGGAAAAATTTGGTTGATTATATAGGGAATCACTGAAGCATGACTGTAGCGGGCCCCCTCTTATGGCAGTCAGTGGGCCCCCCTTATAAAAAGTTCTGGATCCGCCACTTGATATAATATAAAAGATGGAATAATATTTAAAGCTAATTCGTAGCTAGTATAACGGATTCAGATAGGAGCAGATTTAAAGATTTTCATATCTATCTTGAAGCTTTTGGTTGTCTCTAGGATGTTCAATGGGTTTTGAAGTATACTTAATATATCAAAGACTGTCAGATAAAAAAATTCTACTGGAACAATTCAAAATGAGTTTAAATAAAGACTTATGCCTTACAAATCTGCAAATATGCTGCCTTTCAACCAATAGATTCTGAATTGAAAGATTCTCACAAAATATTGCTAATTTATGAAAGACAATGAAATGTTAGGATTTTCCATTGTACAAAGACAGATAGAGATGATACGATATTCAAGTGCATTTTCTATCGTGATTTTCTCGATAGAGGATTGCTGCTTCCTTGGGTTCTACGTGGTTAAGTTGTAGTCGTCCATTCAAAAGTTTAAAATACGTTATCAGCAGTTGGTTGACGGGTATGGAATAGCTGTGCTACAGATGACCATGGATATGTTCCAATTGTCCTCTTTTTCTCGATTGTGATATCACCGACTGAGACTTATCACTAAATTTGTGTATAACTTGATCAACATGACGGGTGCCACTAGTGAAGCAAGATCTGCTTACCCTTCCGGAGCACCTTAGACCACCCCAGTTTTGGTGGGGTTCGAGATACTCAGTCTTTAGTGTATTGATGATGTCCTGTCACTCAATAACCCACATTGCAGTGAGTGCTTGCTACTCATATATTCCTGTGAAGTTGAGATGAAGGATACTAACGAAACTAGTAGGTCTGCTTCATATCTTGATATATTTGTCGAGATTGACACAAATGGACGACTTCAAACTAGAATATATCACAAAAGTGATGATTTCAACTTTCCAATCGTATATCTTCCCGTTTCTCAGCAGTAACATATCCTCTACCGAATCGTAAATGAACACTACACAAGTGTAACGGTCACCATCACGAATTGGTTTACCAATACAATGTCTGTGTGTCAACTCACTAGCGACATGTCTCGCAGTCTAATTTCTTTAGATATCAGAATAGACAGCTAACCTGTAATTTTACCGAATTTTGACTGAGTGTGGATTCGCAAAGCGGTGATGCATGTATAGCAGGATACGCTTACCCTGTCGACGTATTCCGGTCTCGCTCCATTTGGAGTTCATGCGATTCCGTCGGCTTTTGTTTGATACCTTGATTTGTCTTCTTAATCGATTTATGAGATAGGAAAATCGGTAAACTACTGTTACATTAATTTACTACTATTTATAAGTCTTGAATGTCCCTTTGGTATCTTCCGCCTCTTCACTGTCTAAGACGTTTAAAATCCACAGCTATTTTTGTGGCAGCTTAATGCCAATAGGTGTTTAAAAATATAGGACTTTAGATTTGAAGTGACATATGAGAAAACTAAGATCACATAGTAAAGATATTGATTGTTGATCCAAGGCGATATGAAGTCTACGATAGTTGCAAGCTTCCTGATTGTTCTGAAACGTTTATTTCTTAAGGGAAGTCCATCGAAAAGGAGGTTTGAAAATTTGAATGACTGTTCGCCAAACAAGATTGGAATTTACGTTCAAAGGAATTTATTAGTTTGGAATTCGAAGTGAGAGTTGAAGCTAGGGTCGGGTTTCGGTTTTAAAGTTTTTCATAAGGTAATTGTAGTGATTTTTTTTTATTCCTATTTGTTTGAAGTCAGAGTGAAATTGTATGTAATTTGAAATGCAAGCACTGGTTAATTGTCTAAAAGTTGAAATTTCGTGTTCCAATAGAAGTTTAGAAAGATGAAAAAAGTGTTTTACTATACCGAGATTATTTAAAAACAAAATATACCACTCCATCGGGGAAATCATGAAGTCAAAGCGAATGGTGTAAATTTGAGAGACATTTTCTTATCACCAAAATAAAAATATGGAAACACCGGATTGACCTGTCTTGCATAAAACTTTAAAACAATAATACGCCAAAAACTGAAACCTGATTATTGGCGTGTGAAAACGATGTAAAGAAAAAAAGCGTGAAACTGAGGTCACCATAAGATACTTCCAGATACTAGATTTGATGAAGATTTGCGATCAAATCGTAAGTGTGAACATCGACTTTGTTTTATTACTTTTTCGAACAAAAGTATATATTAATAGTAAATCAGTTTACCACCAGACTAGCTAGCTATGTCGTAAATACTAGAGACACCGCGAGTGAAAAAGTATAGTTTTGAAAACCCGCCAAATATTCATGTGCCTGTTCCAACTGTCAAGAACCTTGTCCTTTGTTTTCTTATGTCATACCTTCATGTGTTTTTAGTATTTAGATACTTTGGTGGTAAATCTTTGATTGTTTGTTTTTTTAATATATTGACAACTTTTATAGACCAAGGAACATTTATATTTAGATTAAGAGCTGATATATTGTAATGACACCTGTCTCAGTATTGTTGAAGACTGTATGTTGCCCTCAAGATGTCTTTGTTAATTTTGTAGTTGGGCTGCTGTTTCTCGTATAACCCACTTCTCCATTTATTTATAGAATTATGATTTTGGATGTTTGGTTTTAGAAATTGAAAATTCGTTGCCATCTTTATGTGATTTTTTTTTTGTAAGTTGAAATATTTTTTTTGTGTTTATTGTGAATCAATTTGTGCGAGTTTCTAAATTACTTTGATAGATGCTTTAGGGAGCTACCATTTGATTTTTATGGGGGCGGGGGTGCTAGGATGAAAAATTTTGTCCTGCCTTTTTATTTTCCCCTCTATTCGGTCTTGCCTTTTTATTTTTCACTCTATTCGGTCCTGCCTTTTTTTTTTTTTAATTTATCCTGACTTTTTTTTTACATAAATTGTCATCCCGCCTTTTTTTTTTTGCAAATAATCTCATCCTGCCTTTTTTTTTCTTAAAACTCCTGTCCTGCCTATTTTTTTCAAATTTCATCCTAGCCCCCCCATAAAAATCAAATGGTAGCTCCCTTACCTTGCGATAATAAAAGTAGCACGCTGCGTTGAATGAGCTACATACATTATAAACTGATTTCCTTTCTTCATGCAGTAAAGAAATTATTTTCATAGCTTCACGAGCATGCGCGATGAACTCGTGTCAAGCATCGCAATAACAGCAGAACAGCGCCACATACAACATCACAGCATATATTAAAAAGCAATTATAAAAAGTTTTACATTGTTAGCGTTTTATGGATAAATACAAATAAACATGATTGACTGAAATATATATCAGATGTCATATACTCAATACATTTTTGAACAACTTATTCAATGTATAACTTTGAAAACTTTATTAATATTTCATAGTCCTATGTTGATACACGTTCTTATGTTTTTTCGACAATAATAATTTAGTGTGTCACCATTCCAGTCACTTAACTATTTGATTCGTTTGACATTTGAATGATTCAATGTACTTCTCAGGATTATATATGACGTCACGCAAAACAGAAAATGTAACAAAAGTCTACTACACTATTTATTAACACACTATAAGATGCATAGCGAATGTGTCATGAAAAGACAGAAATATTATTAACAGAAACTATTCTTCAACGTGGTAGACATGAATGATGTTTTAATACTTGGCACTCTTTTTCGCGTTAATTATTATCCATATCATCAATTCGACTTGTTTTTCAATTTTTCTATATCAGCTTTCAATTCTGCTTCGCGTTCCTTCAACTTGGCTAAAATGTCTTCAGTCTGACTTGTGACGTCTTCATTTTTCTTGAGTCGGTCTTCCACATTATCTAAATTGGTCTTCATGCCTTTTATGTTTTCCTCAAGTTTCATTTCTTCTAGCTTGGTATCGATTGATGCTTTTTCTAATTTACTCTTTTCGCATTGTAGCATTAAAATTTTATCTTTTCTTTGCTTGATTCTCTTTTTCATCATGCAGATGTCTGTTTCCCGGAGAAGAATTTCATGTTCTTTGTCTTTTAATGCTTTTTTAAGATTTGTATCGGCTCCTTTTGCGCGTTTAAGATCTTCCTCTAAACTGATTTTTTCTTTCATCAACAGTGATAGTCCACGTTCCTGTTTTACAAGATTCTGCTCAAGTTCTCCGATATCACCTTCCATCTTCAGTTAGATTGTATTTATCTTTGCGTTTGTTGTTATTCAGTTTCCTTCCTGTACCTAAATAAAATATAACATCAAACTTAAACTACCTGAACAAAAACAATATGACCGATATAATTAACCATGGAAGTTTGGGTTTAGCGTTATTATTTTGTGAGGACGTAAGCTATACAATATGAGTCGATTTTATTTTATTGCCTTTACCATTACTATAGTCTCTGGTAGGTTTTCCAAATTGTTTTACATCTCTTATGATTATAATGATTCGTTTTACTTAGTGTACTTATAGAAGAGACTGTATAATGAACTTCTGGTGTGCATCTCTTGGTAGAAGAGACTGTATAATGAGCTTCTGGTTTGCATCTTTTTAACTTTTGTTTTTTTGTAAGGTTGTTGTCTCATTAACAATTACGTCACATTTCCCTGTTAACTGCCACCATATAGAATTTCTCTGTTTGATTTATAAGCCCTTTTCACTTTCATATATATGTATATATGTAGGACTCTAAAGTGCGATGGGCACGCTAAAACGCGATGGTCACGCTAAAGTGCGATGGCCTACGCTTAAGTGCCATGGTTTGATACGCTGAAGTGCGATGGTCTGTTCGATTCATTTGAACACGCTAAAATGCGTTTTCCGACTTTAGCAACGTTAAACAGCATTATGACGAGAATGTTTGTCCAGATTAAGGATTTTTATTACACAAGAAAAGAAAGAAGAGAGAAACAAATGATCACAATCGGAAACTTTTTTTTCGTAGCTGGAAGAGGCTAACTTAATATGTAAAATTGTAGAAAGAAATTTAATCAAAACAGCTGGGGTGCCAAAAAAGTCTTCTTTTTTACTTTCTAACTGAATATTTCTATTAAAAAATTACAATATGGTTTGTTATTTCTGTTAAATAATGAATATACGTCAACTAGACAGCAACCTAATGGACAGATGTGTAGTATCAACATATGATTGCCAATAAGACAACTCTCTATCGAAGACCTAATGTCATTAATGTATGCAACTTTAGGTTATAGTATGACCTTTAACGCGGAACATTCAATTTGGCTTACACCGCATAGTATTCTATTAAGACCAAACGGCCTCAAAACAACCAGTATGAAACAATTCAAACAAGAAAACTGAAAAATAGCAACATGATTTAAATACAAAACAATAAACGAACATGCAAAGTAACATAAACAAATGCGATACCGGTAGTGGACGCCGAATGACAATGTTGTGTCAAGAAAATAAAACCTCGCATGAAACGCTGCCTCGTTTCTGCATTTTTAATAAATTGTTCATTAAAAAACAAGCTGTACGATATAAACAAAGCTGTAGCCGATTCTGAGAGTCGATTGTGTATAGCGAGTGAATTCCTTGTACCATAGACGGTAAAATATTATCATAAAGATGAAGATATTAAGAACTTATTTTAAGCACACCAGTGATTAACTATAACGATAGAAAAACAAATTATTTCCTAAAGGTACTTTGCAATTTGGCAAGGCGTTTTCAAATCCTGTGATGCGTGAAAATTGTTGGCTGATGAAATGCGTGCTGATGCACGATCTTGAACTTGGATGGAATGTAGCCAAGTTTTGTCTTCACAAACAGACATTTCTTCTTTTTTACAAGAGATCTATATTTAATTTCTATTAACTTTGTTAAGTTGTATGCATACTATCTTTACTTTCTGATGTAAAACATAAATATCATATCAGCTGACAAAAACATTCTGTTTTCTCATTAGTATACCTCAGTGCAGAAAACTTTGGCGAGTAATCCAAATAATATTATGCTTCTAGTAATTAGAAATGACATTGTTTTGCTAATATTCACTAATAAACAATCTAAACATGCAAATCGAATTATACATCATCCGTACTGAAAACGACTTCTTTGTAGTCAAACACCGCCAACAAAAACGTGTTAATTTTTCTGTTGTACCTAATACACCAAATAATGTCATGGTCATCATTCGGTTATCGAATTTGAAAGAAAACAAAAAGAATTCTATTGATATTGATTTAACATTTACATGAATTGATACAATTCATATTGGTAAAGGGAAGGGGGAAAGAATAAACACAGTTTGACAACAGTTACATTTCTTGGATTTTAAGCACTGCATCTTGGGTTAATTCTTTTGCTTATCAGTAAAAAACTTCTCTTTGTTACGGTTGCACTACAGGATGACTTTTCTTACTGCAACCTTCAGTACTGAACCATTAACTCGAAGAAACAAACAACAAAATTGATAAAAACGAGTAAATACAGTTTTAGATCAGTTACAATTTTAAAAGTACAGTAACTTATTAAGACAGGTAATCAAAGAATTGAAAGAAAAATGTAAACTATATCTGGGAGAAAGGGTTTTACTCTTGCAGTCATGTGTTTTACGCTAAAGCATACACAAATTGATTTAAACAGTGGCGGATTCAGCTGGGGAAAAACATAGTTGGGGCTTTTGGGGACTCGATCCCCTCATAGCTCCGTCAGTAATGCATTGTTACATTCGTTTTATCTCATTTTTAGAATCAGTGATCTAATGAATCCGGTCGTACCTAATAAAATGAAAAGTTAAACACAGTAAAGAGAATATTATGTGGATAAAAATAATTAAAACCGTCGAAAAAAATAATAAATTTTAGTACGAGAACTCATTAACAATGAATCTAATAGGATGCACGCAAACCATTACGACAAACCCGGTCTCGCTCCATTAGGTTTTTTTTTAATTTTGATTTGTATATGTAATAGATTTTCGTGATTTGATCATCGGTAAAAGAGAGGTGAAAGATACCAGAGGGACATTCAAACTCATAAGTCGAAAATAAACTGACAACGCCATGGCCAAAAAAAGAAAAAGACCAACAGACAAACAGACAAACAGACAAACAATAGTACACAAAACACAACATAGAAAAAATTAAATAATAAATTATTGCTGCTTTAAATAAATTGTGTAGACATTTGGACTGCCACTGGAAAACGAGACAGTCCACCTGAACCAAACGGTCGCCACTTACGTTTAGTCATACCCCTAAGACACCGAAACTGGGACAAATAAATAATTTCCGCGGTGTAAAAATCTCTCAGTGCAGGAAGGGTGTTTTTCTTTTGGTCAGAAGTGTACAGTCGCTAACTTATAAAGTTATTTGTAAACTGTTTTAAACACTACTATTTACTTCTGAAAAATAAGAGAAATCTACCGATGCCTTCTTTTGTTTCCATATCAACAAAATAGGACAAAATAGGTATATTCAATGATTATGTAAATCTGTTTCGAGTAATGAACATTGAAATACTCTCATGGACAAAAGGTACGTAGAGAACATACACCATGGATAATTCGGTGTTTATGTTAGATCCTTGATAGCCTCTGTTAAATTATTCAAACCTTTTTAAAACTCATGTCAATTTAAAGCTTGACACATCGTATAGACGCATGTCTTTTGCTAGAGACTGTATGTTGACCTCTAGATGTCTTTTTGTTACTTGTGTCCTTGAGTTGCTGTACCATTAACGTAGACCCCACATCTTTATTATTCAAATGTATGTCACTTCAATCTCCTTTGTAGTTAAATTTAATTTGAAAGGTATTTTGCAAGTAATTGTCTTTGATGTATTAAATGCATTGACATGTCATGCTTATTTTTACATATTTAAAAACAATTGCGATATGACAAAAGATCCCAACTGACGAGGTTCGTGACTTGTGGCAGACATATGAGTATGGTGAGGGGTTAAACTATATTCTTTATATCATAACCCGGCACCATTTAATCTTAATTAGTGGACTAACAAAAAGTACACAGAATGAGGTGAGAGGATTTTTTTTGGGGTGCTCCGTGTAGGCCTCACTGTGACTTTGAGATGAAGAAGAGCAGTAAAAGCGCTGTTCCTTTGCTTTTTGTGTTTTTTGCTGTGTATGTACTGATTTTGTGTCGTGGATGGACACTCCACATCCTTTCTGTTCTATTATACAATAAAAAGAGCACTGGAAAAGCTCTTTATCTGTAATAACGATATAGAAGTTGACGACAACAATAATGAACAAAACGATTATCAAGAGTCTTTCTAACAAAATGACATAGTGCATGTCCTATTCATTTTTCCCATGAAGATCATATACTTGTTCCTATATATTATTAGCTTTACCAGTAATACATAGATTACATTGGATTTCAATGAACGTTATCTTTGTATTACTGGTAAACTATTAAGTCAGGATTTCGTAACAACAAATTACTTAAAACCTTTACAATTCTTCATAGATACAAAGATTGGGTTTCGAAGTTTGGCTGTACCTGTAGAAAACTTATTCAAACGGGATAGCACATCCATTATTTTACGGAAATGTTGTTTACCACGCGCCGGGAAATTTAGATACGATCCGGATAAATTTATCGATCCTTGAAATAAGCTTATTCTAAAAGGTTACAAATTCAACACTGTAATTAGATCTTTGAATATTGTTTTTATTGGTATAAATATTGATTTTGTTATCGGTAAGATAAAACCAACTAGAAATTATTGTTATATACATATACATATGCACATTCACGGTTCAACAATCTGTCGATACCTGTATTTTAGCATTGTACAAGGTCATGTTTTTCTCTGAATGTCAATGACGTCTTTACACTAAATCCATTGGATGTTGGATGTGAACTGATTGATATTTTAGTCTTAGATACATGATTTTTTTTATTAGTTCTTATTATCTTTGGACTAGCTGTCAGTCACTGCGAGTACTCTCAGATCTGTACTTAGTGTTTTTATTGTAGGGATGTACAAATACCATGCCACGTCCGGTCTATGTTTTTGTTACTTGTTTTTTCTGCTTTGTATCAATCTGATGAGTTTTGCCCCTTTTCAACCGATTTTAGTAGTTTATTCATATGATGTGCTGTCCAAGGTTACGGGATGGTTGGGCGCCTGCAAACATGTTTAACCCCGCCACATTCTGTATGTGCCTGCCCCAAGTCAAGAGCCCGTAATTCTGTGGTTGCCGTTTGTTGCTGTATATCATATTTGTTTTTCTATCGTTGTTTTGTACAAGAATCAGGCCGTTAGTTTTCTCGTTTGATTTGTTTTACATTTTTTATTTCACGGCCTTTTATAGCTGACTATGCGTATGGGTTTTGATCATTGTTGAAGGTCATACGTTGACCAATAATAATTAACTTCTATGCCATTTGGTGTCTGGTGGAGAGTTGTATCATTGTCAATCATGCCACATCTTCTTAGTTTATATTTATTAATTAGCTTATTCTGCTTAAATACTTTATATTAACATTCTTTGTCGGTCACAAGTTTATTTCTCTATGGAATATTAAATTCAAACAACACAATACCATTCACCATTCTGTCAGAGCTTTGATCTGTTGGATTCTCTTTGGAAAACTCAAAAAAACATTTCAAAAAGATATCTTAACAGTTTAGTTCAGTCCTTGGTAGCAATGCTTTAAACAATGTTAACAGCATAACCTTGTTAGTGATCTTTCATTCTAAACAAATTTATAAAAATGCCAAACATTTTCGAAACCAAAATTGAATAAAACTATTGCCTACAATTCTAAATTGACTTAATTTGTTAATAGATATCGTCACACATAGTTTAATAGTTATAGGCAAAGCATATTACTATACTATGAAGCGGCAATCATAAGCTACACTAGGTAATCTAAGCAAGCAATCATTAACTCAAGTATGTTTGTGGTAACTTATTGTCTACATTGTTATGATGGAGAAGATATCAGTAGACATGTATAGGTTAGTAGTTCTGTTGCCTGGATACAGTTTTCGTCATGTCTTCTGCTTATCTGACTATCGGAATTTGATGAAAACAATTCTTCATTTTTTTATTCCCTGGTATATCATATGAATGCACAGAGATAAATGTGTTTCTGTTAACGAAATTATTTTTGCTTTCCACACGTGTCGATCAAACGTTCACCAGCCGGTGATACCATAATAAATTTTGAAAACAAAAAAGTCTGTTATTGAGATAAACTTACCATAAATTCATTCCTATCTGTTGTATAAGTCTTTTGGATAAGTTGGATAACAAAGAAGAACTATCGCGCACCCTGTCGTATTATATCTGACGCGAGTCATCTGTTGCGAATGTGATAGTAATCTTCAAGCTTAGTGCATGACTGATAATAATTCAATTTCCATCTTAGATTTTATATCATAATAAAAGATAAGTAAGTGCTTTATCAAATTGCCGAAAGCTACTACTGTAGTGTGATATTTTCTCTATTTGAAATGGCATAACATGTTCTCACATCGCTTTGTAAATCAAAATCGTCTACATATGTTATAAATTAATTAGTAATTAGTGACAAAAATATATTTCAAATGTATATTTGTAAATATTTGTATAAAAAGTATAAAAAATGACTTTTTTTTTTCAATAATTCTATATCTGAATAATAAAGACGGTACTCAATGCTTCAACTTTAAATGGCGTTTGTCATGTAGCTACCGCCTTTTGAATGGCTATTGCACGCACAACTGTATCGTATATTGACTATTTTGTGTATTTAGTATTTGGTTTAGGGTAGGTTTTTGGAGAAAGGAGACTAAGACGATAAGGGGTCATTTGCTAAGGGAAAGGATCGAATGTTTTAGGTTGATTCTCTTGATATGACTGTTAGTTGAATTAAATTATTTTGGGAATGGTAGGGTGTTTGGTAATTGTGATCTATTCGTGGTATAAGGAAGGGTGTACACATATCAACTATAAAACTATATTGTAGCAATACTACTTGATAACTAAATTATTAGATATAATATGAATTTTACAACATAAATGGTTAATGAAACTCACATAAAAACAAAGATAAACTTTAAGCTATAGCATGAACTATAATAGCAAGTAGCGTAAAACAATTTTGTTTACTGTTCAACTTACCTGATTGAAGATCCTTCACACACAGCTATCTATCTACCACTCGACGCAGACAATGCAAATTAGTCAATCACTTCCGCCTTCCGACATCTGATCGCAGATTAGACAGCACAGTTGCTCTTGGCAACAGATTCTTCTAATAAGAAATACCTTTCTCATCTTCGAAAAATGATAGATTTTTAAGATATGTATACCAAACTTCCCCACCTCTTCATTTCGACAAAAACACGTTATATCAATTTTCTTTATATTGAATTATCATTGCATTCCATTGCTTTTAGATTAGATTCGAGTGCTTAGAATAAAAAAAAACGATTGTTCTATTTATTTTCCAATTAATGTTGACGTCACTGGCACTTTTTATGGTGTTGAAATGTGCACCAACATATTCATTGTTTTTGAAAAAAATTGATTCATACATGATACTTTTCAATGTGGGCTATACATTCGAACAGTAAAACACCTGTTGTCAGAAGATGTACTTTCTAGAAAAAAGTCATGGCGCTTAAAGAAGTTTTAAATTTCTCAATAATTATGTTTTGTTTAAATTATGAATAACAGAAGATGTCTGATAGACATCAACCCAACAACAAAAATAATCAAAAACATCTAGAGGACAATAAATATACAGTAAAATATTCGTTTTGATCTACTGCCACACACAAGTTCTGAACTATAGTTTTATACAGGGTTAATATCTTGTAGCGAATGAAAGATGTTCTCTATTTATTTGGCTTTTAATCTGGTGGTAGCATGCTTGCCTTGAATGCCAAAGCTTGCGGGTTTGATTATTGACCGGGTCAATCCGAAGACTAGACAACTGAGGTGTTAAAAGACTTCTTCCAACTATCAGATTAACCTTTGTACTTTTAAAAATCCGACGTACAGCATCAGTTTTGTCCACAACAGGACATATTCATAAAACATTGACCCATTTATTTGTGTCCTGAATATGTATTTATTATTTACCACTGGACATTAATTTCCATGATTCATCATTATAATTTGACTACTGCATCAAAGATTTGATACAAATTTGAACATATGATTTTTACGTTTGACAAAATATCTTTTTCTGTCTATTCAAGGGGACAAGGTACCTTCAATAATTTTGATATATCAAAATCTTATCTTTTTGAAGTTGCAAGCTGGTGCAATATGATGATATACTGCTCGGGATAATTTTCTTCACGATAAGTGCTATAACTCTATAACGCTAACAATACAGTTTGCATGTGTATCCTAGACCTCATAGATGTAAAAACGAAAAGATGTATTCACGATTACATGATTTTGATTTTTACAATAGTTATACATGGAATTATGCCAAGTCTAATTTATGATTTCTGCATAATAACAATCATTTGTTCTCTCCGAGATACAATTCAAACTGTATGACTTGATGACTTTACACTATTATGATTCATAGAGTGTAAAGTCATCGAGTCATTATTCTTCCTGGTTCGTACTTTTTCTTATTTTTGTTGTTTTTGAAAAGGTTCAAATCTTAACAATTGACCAAACCGGTCTTACTTGTTTATCATGTTTATTAAGAACATAGTCAAATGATGTGTCCTAAACAAAATTCTATAAAACTGAACTAAATTTTGAAAATTTTTAAATACTAAACAAGACTTTGGTAGTTTTCCAAAAGCCGAGTGTTCTTTAATTTTGTTATGAAGATTACAATAACAATTTCTATATTTATCAAATTATTATTATTAGTCTATAAATTGTAAAAACTCAGATATCGAGAGTCTGACAAGAGCATCATTATTCCGCCATTTTACTTTAAACGATGTTGTGCTATTGGGGAATATTTCATTGATATGCAATAAAAGACGAAATGGCAGAGAAGTAAAAATAACTATTTGAAAATAAGCAAAGTTTGATCTTGAGATATAATTCTCCTAATTACATACTGTGTTTCTGTCATTCATCATTTGTCAATGGGAATGTACATTATAAGATTAATCAGATTAAGCTTACATGTGTATGTACAAGCCTAAAGGATGGTTCAACAAAACAACCCAGATGTTCAAGACTTTCATAGATATCTAATTCATTACATTATCTATAATAAGATTAAATACAAATACCACAAGCATTTTACCTATCAATAAATTGTTTCTGTGTAGAAAGCTTCATTAATATAAAGAAACAAGTTTCATCTGGATCAGTTCTTGGAATCTATATTAGCTTTTAATTGGGGAAAGTTTTTCAAAACGTTATTTGATGATTTTCAACGTTGCAGAACCTTAGTGGTATATATTATCATTCATTATTGTGATATATTTACGGAACAGCATAATTTTCCGGTTCATCTATTTATTTTTAACAGTCATAAAAAGAAGCTATTCACTTTATTCTATATTAACTCGGAGTACTTTTATATTGAAAAAATATTATTAAAACATTTACCAAAACATTATAAAGGTGAAATACATTTGTGTTCATCTTTGACACGATTACTCCATTACCGTCAACCAAGTTAAGACAACATAGAAGTCCGTAAAACTTTCAAACAAAAAAACTCTTGGTTCAGTAAAACCAGGTTTTATCCACCATTTTCTACGTAAGGAAATGCCTGTACCAAGTCAGGAACATGACAGTTGTTTTTCTATTCGATTGATGCGTTTAATAGTAGGGTGCCCAGTCAACGAATTTCATCGATTTGGGTTAACAGAGTAACACATGGCTGTATTTGATATCATTGGAAAGAGGAGAACAAGCCTCATTGAACTATTGATGTCGTCGTTGTCTACAGTAGTCATGTTTTTCTTAGATTTGGGTCAAAGGTCAAAGCTAAAATTTCAAAGAAAACGCAGAGTCAAGTTTAGACAGCTGGCCGCCACTACATATATGCGTTTATAGCAAAATAAATTTGAATAATTCAAAGGATTATAACTATAGTTTCTATATTTAGGACTAATTATATATTTATGTTGCCAAATATGGTTCGAGATTGACATTTGTACTTATAGGGTGCACATTTACAATTTTCATTCAGCTGTTAAAAACTGTAACCTTGACCTATTAAAATTTCCAAATTCGGAATTTTTACATAAAATTCGATACAAGTTATCTCTAGAGATGTTTTTTAGATATCAACATTTATAAGTTGTCCTCCCAAAATGTTATTTTTCCGTATTTTGCCTTTCGCCTTTAGCTTCAATACGAAGACATTACATTACATTTTATCTTTAAATGATGCCAATCATCAGAATCATCAACGTTATATAGCATGGTTCTTTGTAAACGACTTTACTAAATTCCTTTCCACGTTTTAACATATTTAACTGCCGTCAAAGGTGACGCTCTAAATTAAATGTGTCATCAGGGGCGGATCCAGAATTTTGCGTTGGCGGAGGAAAGAAAGGATTGGCGGATGAAAAATGTGTGAGTGGTAAGGAATCCGCATAGCCAGATGTTTAGTGTGATGGCCAATGTGGTGAAGCTCCCCGGAAGTACCTGGCATTTCAGGATTTTCATTTTTTTTTCATTTTCTTTAACTTGTCACCCTCTCTCTCTCTCTCTCTCTCTCTCTCTCTCTCTCTCTCTCTCTCTCTTGGTCCTTGCAAACCATGCTTTGGTAGTTTCAGGGGCGCACGCCTGCCATTCCCAGTCTTAATCCGACCCTGATCAGCCGTTTCAATCATATGTTGATTCTTAAAGGAAAATTTTTACTTAGAATGCTGTCACTCAAAGATATTAAACAGTAACAATGCTATTCAACTTCGTACTTTTATTGGCCTTTTAACTTTTATTCCAGCGTCACCGATGAGTCTTTTGTAGACGAAACGCGCGTCTGGCGTACACAATTATAAGCCTGATATCTTTGATGAGTTTGATCATAACATTTAATGGTTGCACAAGTGAGTACAATATCCCGCACAATTTATTTTTAATCAATCACAAGATACTACGCATTTTCATTTTATGTTTCATTGATTAAACCCATTTGCAAACTATTATGATATCCATCATTTCTATATTGGTATTATTGTTATGCATATTCTTTGTATTAGTAATAGTAGTAGTAGTAGTTAAATAAATGATTAAGTTTATAAATAAAACAAGTCTAAAAGCAAATCTGTGCCAACTCCATCAAATTAATAGTAATGTGCTGAAGTATTCCGTCCAGGATAACGCCAGAAAATGGACAAAGGGAGAGTAGGTGAAACTAGATAATGTGCATGAAAGTCTGTATGAACATTCACTTATGACGATACTAAATGTTTCGAGGTTATTTGAAACCACAAGTTTACTTTTCAGATACCAATAAGCTTGGCATGATAAAAGTATATTCTTCTTGAAGCTGCTTGAACGTTTTTTTTAATATATATATTGACCACATTCGAAAAAACACTAAAAAAACTTGTGTTCATATCTTAAATCAACAAGATAATGGTTAGTTCCAATAAAACAGCTTTACCACCATCGAAGTTGACGTTTTAAGAAAACTACAACTCCGTACTTTGGTATAGAGAGAAGGACGTGGTCGTTCCTGTTAAATGACAATTTATAACAGAATTTTGTCAATGTTTTACTGAACTCCTTTTTTGTATTTTAACAAATGAGTTTAATTAAATAAATCCAATCAACTACAATTTTCAGCACCATTGTGAAGTATACTCTACAATCGGCGACAATGAGAAGATGTAGTTTCTTAAAACAAATCGTCGAAAATTCTACAGTTGTCAATATATACGTACATATTGCTTAATCGTCCCGGTGATTCTGATAACACTGTCGTACAAAGTTTTCACTTTATTTTAATTGATACTTTTTATCGATATGAGTTTAAAAGCAAATTTCGATATACTTCTAAGTAGAAAAAGATACATAACATGTCGTTACACCTGCTAAGTGTCGGAAGGTCACTGATTATGGTGGAATTACATTTTGAATAAGAAAGCGGGAGATATGGCAAAGGAACGTTAAAAACCTCATAAGTGGCAAAAAACGAAAAACGACGAAAAGACAAACAAGTTCACAAAACAGACATAGAAAATCAAGGACTGAGCAACACGAACCCATCAAACTCTGAGAGATTCTCATGTGTACTGGAAGGGTAAGCAGAGTTGTATCCGTCGTGTACGGACTTCGTATTTTGCGAATGAGATTATTGATTTTTCATAAATGGGGAAGTGAGAACAAACGAAATACACATGCATGCATTGAATATCAAAATAATTATTTTTGAAAGCAACCAGGTCAAGGAAGGTTAACAACATCTAAAAATATATAGAAATACTTAAATTTCCTTTTATTCATACTTATTCAATGCATGCATTTAAAAACGTATAACACAAATACTGAACTCCAAGGCAAGTCTAAAAAGGGAAAGTCCATAAAATCTGACAAAATCAAACGCTTTTTTTAATCAATCAACGGATTTAACGTTGAGAATGCTAGACACATCATTTTCATTTACTTGTATCACTATTTTTACGTTGTCTTTCCTTGTTTAAATTAAATGACACTTTGGTATCTTCTTATTTCTTTAAGTTTATTTTCAAGGAAGTATATATTTCATATCTTAGAAAACAATTGCTATTTTGTGATCTTTGATTGTCATAATGCTTCTATTGGTTCTATATTTTACACAGAGATGGTCAAATAATTATGGCAGTATCTGTTAGATATTTACTCGTTTATTCGGTGAATTGTTGATATCAACGTGCATGTTCTTTAATTCACAGATATAGCCATATCGAAATCATTAAATGCAGTGTTACTTTGATACATAATTTGTCATGGGCGTTAGGGATTTAATGCCTTGAAATATTATACCTAACCATTCTTTTCTTCCATTTCTTTGGCAGAGTTTTTCCATGTGCGTTGTGGAGGTCGTTTAGAGTTTTCCGTGCTTGAGGTGTATGATCTGATATTTTTACACTAGCCATGTTATTTTTTTCAAAATAACTCATCGTATGTTGCTGGTTTTCTTTTTCTATTTCGGTCTGTTTGTTTATTTAAATAGGAACACAGCCATCCTAAATTTTAAGAATTATTGATAAATACAATAAATAATCTTTATTTCAAGAGGATAATCCAAATAATTAAAACTAATTTTCCCGAAACATTATTTGCTGCAGTGTTACAAACACATATCTAATTAACGTTCGCGATTTGTTAAATCAATTTCCAATCAATTAATCTGTCAGATTTTGACAATATTTATTAGATTTGTTTGCTTATAGTCTTGATTTGCTGATGTTACCATGCATTTACGCTCTTCAAATCATTGCTGTATCTTAAACGACATCTAACAAAGAATTTTATTCCACTGATTGAAGCCGTCTTCAAATTGGAGTGAGGTATGATCTTTTCTTTTGTGTGTCAGGCCTCTTTGTGACTTTGTGATTAGGAGCAGCAATATGAGCACTTTTCCGTTGTTTTTGGCTTTTAGAAAATGTCTGTAATTCTGTTGGTAATGAAATAGTACTTATAATGAAGACATGATGTTATTTCCGCGCATAACATCAGTTTCGGGAAACTTTTTAAAGTCATTGTTAATATTGTATGAGGTTTAATTATTCACAATAACATACGTGTAAATTGTTAACTTTGTGCATATACTGTGTGTTATCTTTTCAAAGTTTTAACAGTATGAAACAAATAAAAAATCTACCATTAGAAAGAGTAATAAAACATAGTTATTTCTGCGGATGCTTGAGCCTTAAGAAATTCTGAATACTGATTGCTGAAAAAAAAAAGATTTGAATTTTGAATATGCCTAATTTGAATGTAATTTGTTTTCTGAGTTTGTCGCTACCCGTACGTTCAATTTGTTTTCAGGTGAGAGTGTTACTGAGTTTGTCGCTATCCTTACGTTCAATCTGTTGTAAGGTGAGAGTTTTTCTCAAAAGTTAAGCAGAATGAAGTCTGAGCTTACTGTCAGTTTAATATTGGCGCTAAGGCCAATATATATTTTTAGTTGATTTATTCGAGCGTTACTTATAAAGATTTGATTGTTTTGTTTTGATGAAATATGAAGCTTAATTTCATTCGTTTTTTCGTAGTCATTTAGTCCTATGTTACACGACATTTCTTAATCTACTTATTTCCTTAAGTCGGAATGTAAACTTGTTCAGTTATAGTAGTAACGCTTATATTCAGATAAAGTACCATAGAGTCAATCCGATATATTTTATTGACCAGTGTCAATATATGCCAACTTTGTCTTAAAGAACGTAGCATGCCAAACTACGTTTTTTTGAATTAAGGAGCTATGCAACAGTAATTTTTATAATTCTAAATAAAGATGACATTTAAAAGTCACGCACATGAGAAATTAGAGGTTTTGTATTACATTGTTGTTATATAATACATAAGCAAATCTTTTCATCAATATAGAACAAAAGTAACTGCTAGTTTGTATTAGGACACCTACTACTATAGGCTTCTGATATAGATATTACATGATCATGTTGAAAATCGCTTTGATTTTCCTTTTGTCCTGCGTTTATTGTCGAGCCGGGAAGCCAGGATGCTTAAAAAACCACCTGATAAAAGAGATTGAGAGAAACTTGAAGGATCTACAATCAATGCATGTTCACAACGGTGGTATGTTTTTTTTTCTTTCTCCTGGCACATAGAGGCTTATTTTTTAAGAACTGAAATTTTCAATAGTTTTACATTATATTGTATGATACAATGATAACTTTGCATTTGCTTGCTGTTTCACAGATGGAAATTTAGAAGATGACAATATCTAAAAATACATTCCTTCAATAAACAATAAAATATTTAATCATGTAGGTAGAATGATAGAAGGTAATGAAATTGTAATAAGAATCTTATGATTTTTATTAACAAAGTGGGTTTTACCGAACAACTTAACATTAAAGCATGGATTTTTCCAGTTTTATCTTACCTTTTTTTTTTACCATATTATTTGTAAAATTTCATTTTACCCATAATTCTACATCTTTATTGTAATGTAGATTTTTCACAAAATTTTATGTTATTATAAAAGTCTAAATATGGTCTGTCTTTTTCTCCAGAAAACCTAGGCGAAACGTACATTAGATGGGGGAAAACAACATGTCCAGATGAGTCTTATCATGTTTATGATGGTAGGTTTGTACTCCGTTTATATTAAAATTTCTCTGTGTATAGAAACAAGTGTAAAACATAAAAAACATATAGATATTTTATTTTGCAAAATTTCTTCGGTGAGTTAGTAGGAAACTGTGCTAAAAGAAAATATAAAAACCCTTTCTATACTTCTATGCAAAACTTGCTAAGGCTTTTTAATATTTTGTTAATCCTTAACTCTGGAACTGATATCTTTTTTGTAAAAAAAATTAAATGCACATGCACATTTCTTGAAATTCTTGCAGGATATGCTGCTGGAAAACACCACAACATTGGTGGGTCTGGTTCAAATCTTCTATGTTTACCAAAGAATCCAGAATGGAAAGATTATAAAGACGGGGAAAACACGTGGACAGGTAAACTATATGGTATCGAATATGAAATCGTTCAGAACAAGCCATATCCAAAGACTTTTCACGATAAAGATATGCCCTGTGCCGTATGCCAGTCTAAAAAATCAATAGTTTTAATGGTACCAGGTAAACTAACATGTTATGACGGATGGCACAAGGAATTTTCTGGATATCTTATGTCGCAGTCAAGTACCAATGGTCGTACTCCATCAGAATACATCTGTGTTGACGAGAAGTTGGAATCTGTGCCCGGTGGAGATTCAAGTCGCAATGAGGCTGTCGTGTATCCAGTGGAATCTGTTTGTGGAAGTTTGAAATGTCCACCGTACGTTAATGGAAGAGAGCTTACTTGTGTTGTATGTTCCAAGTGAAATACAAAGTATAATCTGAAATAAAATATGTAAACACAATCATTTCTATTATATTTTTTTTTCATGTTGTTGGTATTTGAAAATTTCTTTAAGAATATTTTTGTACCTTATGTCTAATGTAAAGTCATTTGTCCTCTGAAATGTAGAAATTTATAGTTTCTGAAAGATAGAAGACATTACCTCTAAGCAGTAACATGCCCTCTGCCTAATTGTATGGCGCTTACATATCTCAATTTATATATTACGCTCGTGCAATTTAACACTTTACGATTTTTTTGTAAGCAAGTTATACACAAAATAAACTTCATGTGTAAAAATCTTTTCAGACTAGGCTACTCTACATTTTTTCTTATCATCTGTTAGTCAAATTGACAAAATCTTTGACAAATTCACAATTTTCTGCATCACGAATTGGTTAACCAATATGATATGTCTGATTCTCAACTCACGAGCGACATGTTTTCGCAGTCTTATATCTTTAGATGCCATAATAGTTGTCTGATCTGTGATGTTTACCGATTGTATCCTTTTCCGATTGTGACATTTTAAATATTATTTCATTTTAGGGCAAATTTGGCTTCAAATCGTACCTTCTCCTTTAGTATAAGTTAGATTGGCTAACTATATATAATTTCCACTTTCATTTAAATATCCATGATGGGTGCTTTGTAAAAATTTTGTTTTATCTAAGGGTTAAACACGTATAAACAATTCGCATCTCTATGATGCCTGATCACTATTTATGGTTATTCATTGGAATTTAAAATGACTAGCACTAGTTATGTCACTAGCGACACAGAAACTACTCATCCTTCAAGATCACATAAGTTCACTGCAGGTTTTTTCTTTATCTCCACCGCTTTTTGGCAGTAGTGCTACTTTCCTTTTTTGACAACGCATTATTCCATGATATCTTCTTACTATTTTGCATTTGATTATTAGCTGCATTCTTCAAAAACGCTTTAATATCACAAAAGAGTGGCGAAAAATACCGAAGGGATAATCAAACTCATAAGTCGAAAACGAACTGACAATGGCATGGTAAAAACGAACTGACAATGCCATGGTAAAAAAACGAACTGATAATGCCATGGCAAAAAACGAACTGACAATGTCATGGCAAAAAACGAACTGACAATGTCATGGCAAAAAACGAACTGACAATGTCATGGCAAAAAACGAACTGACAATGTCATGGCAAAATAACTAACTGACAATGTCATGGCAAAAAACGAAAAACGACCAAAAATCAAACAACAGAATACAAAACTCAACAAAGAAAACTAAAGACTGAGCAAAAAACAACAAAAAAACCAGGGGTGATATCAGGTGCCCCGGAAGGGTTAGCCAACCCTGACCCACATTTGACACCCGTCGTGTTACTCCTCTGAAATATGTTTACAAGTTATTTCAATAGTGGATTGGTAATTGACTTTTTTCTAACATTAAGACATCACCAAATTCATAAACTATCGGTCCTGAAAATACATAACATTGAAACTTGACTTTATTTGACATTTTGAAATTGAAACAAGGTTTTAATGTCAAATGATAGACAAAAAAAATGAGAATGGAAATTGGAATGTGTCAAAGAGTCAACAACCCGACCGAAGAGCAGAAAACAGCCGACGGCCACCAATGGGTCTTCAACACAGCGAGACAATCCCGCATCCGGGGGCGGGTTTCAGCTGGCCCCTCAACAAAAATGTGTACTAGTTCAGTGAAAATGGACGTCATACCAGAGACATATAATACAAGTATTATATGTCTCTGGTCATACTAAACTCCAAAACATATAAATGAAATAAAATTAAAAAACATACAAGACTAACAAAGGCCAGAGGCTTCTGACTTGGGACAGGTGCAAAAATGCGGCGGGGTTAAACATGTTTTGTGAGATCTCAACCCCCCCCCCCCTATACCACTAGCCATTGTAGAATTAACAAACACACAGCAATGCGCACAGTAAAACTCAGTTTAAAAGAAGTCCGAGTCCGATGTCAAAATAGGTAACAAAAGAAATTAAGCAAAATGACAATGATACATAAATTAACAAAGGACTACTAGCAGTTACTGACAGACTGTTACCCGGAAAACAACGCTGACACTAAAAAAATAAAAACCAGAAAAAGCAAGAGTATTACAAATCCCTTTGAAATAAAAACTAGGGGTGGTCTCAGGTTCTCCGAAAGGATAAGTAGATCCTACTCCACATGTGGCACCGTTGGCTTATGGCTAAATAAGTATGAAAGCAAGGTCTAAAGAGTAAAAGGAACATACAATTTCTTCTTGGATCTTAGATGTATGTACAAAATGGTATGCACTGAAAAATTCACTCTAGCCACTTACAAAAATAAATCGATTAAATCAGTAAAATTGAATAGAACCATTTTTCCTATAAAGTTTGATTATGAAATTTTAAAAATTACATTGAAACGAAGGAATATATACTAGTTACTAAAATATCTAATTTCATTTTTTTAGATATTTTTGAGAAAAAATTAAGTCTATATTTTGACATTAATATGTATTTTTATAAAGTTTAAGTTTAAAATTTTTTTTTAAATAATTTAATAATGTCTAACACTAGAAAAAATCCGCGCGAGCGCGGCTTGAAGACTACTTGAAATGTTTATAGAGATACACAGCTTGGGTTCGTGTTTCTCAAACTGTTTTTATGCACTGATGCATTATGTTGATAGTTTTTATTAGTTTGTCAGTTCTTCTTCCATAGGAGTTTGAATGTCCAATTAGTAGATTCTGTCTCGGTGTTACACAGGTGTTCCTAGAACGGAGGAAATAACCAAAAACACTACATTTTTACGTCATATCACAAATATTTCCGACTTTGTATGGTTTCAGAGGAGTTGCGGCTCAATGAAATCGGTCTCTTCCTTTAGTAGTATAGATTGTTCTATCTACCATTTTGTCTTAAACTAAAACAAAAAAACAGTGAAAAAAATTACCTGAATTAACCACATTAGGCAAATGAAAATTATATTTTTTTTATGCTTTAAATGACAAAATATTTCCTTTTTACTATTTTTTTTACTGAAGTGTTTGATGAAGACAATATTCAAACAATTGTCATTGTAGATAATGAAAATATTTCCTTGTACGCGATTTAATGTTCTACCCCAAAATCTTGTGTTCCTTCTTAAATCTCATGAAATTGTCTGTTCGCTCAACATAATCAACATTAAGGTCAAGTTCATATTTTTGATGTTAGGAAATATTAATCTTTCTGTGTCATTCCTTACCAAATAAATGTTCCTGCATTCAGGTGTGTGTCTAAGTGTTTTATTCTTACGATAAAACCAGAGAGCCAATTCAGTAATCGTCATTTTCTTTTCCCGTCAATGAAATAAATAAGGAAAAATCTATAATTGCTTTGATCATTTGACAAATATCGAGTATGAAACAAAAACAACAAAAGGCAGTCAATGGAAGCTGAAAATATATCTTCTTGGTTATCAAAATTCATTATGTAATAAACAGGTGTTAATTCTAAAAATACTTTAGAGATCTACTTCAAAATCTTCAATCACAATTATCATAATTTTGCATTAATATCAGTACATTTTGATGTTTATAGGAAAAGATTTATTTAGAATGCTTTTAATCACAGTTACTAAAATAGCAACAATATTAAACCATTTTAAATGATTACAAAATCCTCAACAATTCATTTTCGCTTATCACAAGATAGTATACATTTAATTTTCATTGATTAAACCCATTTGCAAACTATTATGATATCCATTATTTCTATATTGGCATTATCGTTATACATATCAATTGTATAAGTCATAGTAGAAGTTGTTAGATTTTCGTTTAAACAAGTCTAAAAGTAGTTATATGTGCCATTTTATTCAAAAGAAATGAAATCTGCTGAAGGACTTCGTTGAGGATAGCGCTAGAAAATGGACAAAATATATTTGATAGAACCGGATAGTTGGTCTGAATCTGTGATTGAAGAATTCGGACATACAAAATTAATAGAGGTTTTTTTTTACATGCACTTTGTCGATACCGAGGGTATCATCAGCTCATAGCCAACCCTTAACTTCTGTCATAATGTACACCACTTTCTTCTAAAACTCCATATTGATAAATAAAGAAATTAATAAGAAACTTAAAGAGAGGCGAAAGATACCAAAGGGACATTCAAACTCATAAGTCGAAAAATAAACTGACAACGTTATGGCTAAAATAGAAAAAGACCAACAGACAAACAGACAAACAGTACACAAAACAAAATATAGAAAACTGAAGATTGAGCAACATGAACCCTACCAAATACTGGGGGTAATCTCAGGTGCTAATGAAGGGTAAGCAAATCCTGCTCCACATGTGACACTCGTGGTGTTGCTCATGAAAGTACAAACCTAGCTAAATCGGTAGGTCACATTCGGGGAAAAAGGGACGGGATTGTAGTTACGACAATTTGAACATATCCGTCGTCATCTGTGAAACAGATATTCCATAACGGTCAACTAACTCGTGATGGCGTCCGTAAAATTTACGATGGGATGATTTCAGCTTCACCACTTGTAACTCTTGGTTTAATAGCTTCCTTGTGAGCATCAACATTCTATCAAGGAAATCATGATAGGAAATACAAGCCCTTGATAAACTGGGAGATATATACTCCTTATGCAGGCGCTGCAGGAATGTTCCTACATAGAAATGGAAAGTTCACAATTGGGAAGTCGAATCATCTCTTTCGATGGTATAGATGCGTTCAACATAGTCACCAACGTTTGAAATATTTAGTGAGAAAACATCTATTTATCGGAAAGTGAAGTTAAAGGATACTGCTAACTTCTTTTCTTTCTTCCTAAGAAGTTCCTGTATGAAGTCAACCTCATATAAATCAAGGAACAAGTCGACAAGAAGAGGAGCACAGTTGGTTCACATGGGAATGCAGATTGTTTGTTGAAAAGCACATCCTCCAAACGTAACAAATATGTTGTCATTCAAGAAATAAAGCATCTTGATAATGTTAGTTATCGAGAATTTTTTGTTTGAATCAGAAT